CTGCACAATATGAACTAAAGCTGATTGAATTAGCCTGGTAGCTGTCTTACTATGTAGGTGTTGAGTTTGTCTAAGTCCCTCTGGCCTTCTCTTCCTTCCCTCCTTCCACTTTACCTACTCTTGGCATTTCTTCTTTTCTCCAAACAAAAACAATCAAAATTCAGATTCCTGGCCCTGCCACTTGGTAAATTGTGAATTCCCTGGCAAGCCATGTCATATGTTTGAGCCTTGATTCCTTTGTCTGAAAAATGGTGGCAGGTCACAGGATGATGAGAAACAATGTGTGAAAACACCCAAGGACCCCAGACACAGGTAAGATGCATTACTTGTGTAAGAGCTCACTTCCTCCAGTTGGCCCTGCCCTGAGCTAGTGCAGGCCATGTGAGGCCTGGGTGGGCCTTTCTTCATAGCTTCTAGGGCTGAAAGGACATTCCAAGAGGACAGGGCCTAGAGTGCTTCAGGGAGCTGCAGGAGAGGCAAGGGAGAGCTGGCGTTCTGAGGTCTAAGACAGAAAACCCCGGGCACCTGGGAGCCAGTGGAGGAAGCAGGGACACACAGCTGTGCATTTTACAGGATTAAGCCTTCAGCCCAGCCACAGAGGAAAGCTATTGAAAGCCTTTGCTCAATACGACAGGGTTTCTTTGCTTCTTGAAATGTAAACCAGTCCTAGGTATACAGCAGTTGTTTCCAGGCATCTCCAGGCCTGGTCTTCTGTCAGAGTGATCTCTGAGCCATTCCAAAGTATGCACTTCCCAGCCAGTGCCAGAACCACTGAGTGAAGACCTGCAGGGTGTTCTGCATTGCAGAGCCACTGCTCAAGTCAGTGTGAAGAGGCCTGTGCCTAACTCTTCGGGGTTCCTGTTTCCTGCTGCTGCCTGAGCTACATTTCCAAAAGGGCCTTTGACAGTGTCTCCAGTGCACCTCAACCCATGCCGGTATTCCTGTCTGGGAGCCTTGGAAAGCTATTAGGTGTGCACAGGTTCGCCTAATGAAGTCCTGCGAGGCGTACACAAGGTTGAGTAGCCTGTGCTGATTCTATTTACATCCTCTCTGCCCTAGCTCTGCCCTCATGCCGGGAGGCGGGTTGTGTCTTCTGTTCTCAGGCCTCATTAGCCAAGATTAGGGGCCATCCAGTGCCTTGTTTGTGTTTGACAACAGGGAGCTCAGCTCAACTGCTTTGACCTTTTTGGGCCAGTGAGTAGCAAGCCGGTCTGGGTCAGGCACCAAGAAAGCATAGGTAGTTGTGTTTGTTTTCTGGGCTTTTATTGCCACCTATGGGTTTTTAATATTCAGGAATAGCAAAGGCACATGATGGGGAGAGCTGGTTTAGGCACAATCTTTTTTCCTGGGCTGGATGTATAGCTCAGTGGGAGGGTATGCTTTGCATGCACAAGGGCCTGAGTTCACTCTCTAGAATCCAAAATAGTTTTTTTTTTTTTCTAGAAGGTTTCAGAGGACATTAATGTCAGTGATGTTGGGAGTTATTTCTAGATTGGGTGATAGACCTAGGGTTGATGATTTGTGCTTGGTCCGAATGGGCTTTAAGGAAGAGGAGGAGAGGCACAGAGCTAGCAGCAGCAGGAAGAGTTCTCAGTCATGAAGGCAGCCCGGGGCGGGATGAGGAGGTCAGAGTTGTCTCTGGAAGGGAGTTCAAGTCTAGCCCAGTCAGTGTATGGTACCTGGAAGACGGGATCCAAGATTCAACTCTGAAGGCAGGGTGACCCAGAGACGGGAGAACTCGGCTTGAACCAAATTTCTCTGCTTTATCTGGTCAGCCTGCAGGAGGCCGATGGAAAGTGCTAGGCCTCCGAGCTGCTCCAGCAAAGGTCAGCCCTGGAAGAGCTTGTTAAGTGGAAGGAAGCCCACCCAGCGGGAGTCTGTTGCAGTGGGTTTGAGCAAGGTTTCCTCTTTAAAAATCACAACTGGAATTTGTTCGGTTCTGATGTGGGCTTTCTGATACCAGCTTCATGAATTTCCGAATTCTCACCCGCGTTATTCTGTTTCACTTCCCAGGAAGATGAATCATCGTTTCCTATTACAGAGCGGTCTGGGGTGCTGAACAATGGCGTGGTGGCCCTGGCTTTGCCTAGCCATTCACCAGGTCCTTTGTTCTGCTCCTACCACCTGTGTTGACGTTGGCTTTTGCTTTCTCTTTCCTTCCTCTCCTTTTTCTCTCTTCCTTTCAGCTCCTAACCTGTTCCCCTCCCCTTCAGTTTTGCTCCCCACCTCCAATCTTAGGACAATTTAATTCTTTGTGCAACAAAAAGAAAACAGAAGCTTAGGGAATCATAGAAGTATTCGTGAAGGAACTTTTGCATGAAACATACGGGAATACTAATGCACAGGCCATGTTAAATATCATTTTATTATGTGTGATAGTTTGTAAAAAGAATTTAAAAGTGAGTTGGCTGGGCGTGGGTGGCTCACATCTGTAATACTAGCTGAGTAGGCTGAGATCTAAAGATTACGGTTCAAAGCCAGCCCCGGCAAGAAAGTCTTTGAGACTCTTATCTCCCATTAACCACCAGAAAATTGGAAGTGGTGCTGTAGCTCAAAGTGGTAGAGTGCTATCCTTGAGCAAAAAGAGTTCAGAGGCAGCACTCAGACCCTGAGTTCAAGCCCCATGTCCACTACCAACGCCAACAACAACAAAAGTGGATTGGATGTGTGGGGCTCATTTGAGTATTCCTTCAAGCTTATAACTTACAGAGCTCAAGAAAATCTCAACATTTCCATTTGTGACTTTCCCTTTGTCTTTTTCAACTGTGTTAATGTGCTTATAACTTGCAGAGAGCTCAAGAAAATCTCAACATTTCCATTTGTGACTTTCTCTTTGTCTTTTTCAACTGTGTTAATGTCTCCTCCTGAATAGCAACCTTACCCCTCACCACCACCACCACACAAACATATGCGTAACATGTAGGAACCAAAAGGTTCACAATGAGGCTCTCCTTCACCCAGTTACCTAATGTGTAATTCCTATCCAAACGCTCTTGCTCATAGATTACAGTGAAATCACGTAGCCTATTAATAGGACACTTGGGAAGTAAGCCTGTAGGCATTTCCTTTAGGGTTGCGACTGTGCAGATGGGGCAGATGCACACATTCAGTTAGAAGTTGGTTGCTTCATATACTGAAAGTCAAGTTCCCAATCACAGCCGGAAGCTCCTTTCTTGAGGTAGTGAGGCTTTGCTTTTGTTTGGGGGTGTGTGCTGGGGGGATGGCTATGGAAAAAGACAGTGGTATGTTGGTTCTTTTGTTCTATTCAAGATGAGAGGAGAGGCTAGAGGTGTAGCTAATTGATGAAGCTTGTGCTTAGGAGGTCTGAAGCCCTGGGTTTCATCCCTAGCCCTAAGAATTAAAAAAAAAAAATTGTGAGGATACCTGATATTAAAGATAAAAGCTAGGCTGGGAATGGGGCTCAGTGGTAGAGTGCTTCCCTGGCATGCATGAAGCCCTGGGTTCAATTTCTCAGTACCACATAATAAACAGAAAAAGCCAGAAGTGGCACTGCGGCTCAAATAGTAGAGTGCTAGCCTTGAGCAAAAGAAGCTCAGGGACAGTGCCCAGGCCCTGAGTTCAAGTCTCAGGACTGACAAAATAAAGATAAAAGGTAGGCTGGAGGCATGGCTCAAATAGTAGAATGCCAGCAAGTATGGGGCTCTTGAGTTCAAGCCCTGGTACTGGCTATGGTTATTCTGCCGGAAAGAAGAAACAGTGATCTAGCACTAGCCTGCAGCCTGCAACCATGGGAAGCCGGGGCCTAAGCCAGGTTTGGAGTCTATAGGTCTTCTTTAAAAAAATTTTTTTTTTTTTGGTCAGTAATGGGGCTTGAACTCTAGGCCTGGGCATTGTCCCTGCACTCTTCAGCTCAAAGCGAGCGCTCTACCACTTGAGCCACAGCGCCGCTTCTGGTTTTCTGGTGGTTTATTGGAGTAAGAGTCTCACGGACTTTCCTGCCCGGGCTGGCTTTGAGCCGCGATCCTCAGATCTCAGCCTCCTGAGAAGCTAGGATTATAGGTGTGAGCCACCGGCGCCTAGCATTCTTTTGAATCTTTATCACTTACTGCTTACCTGAGCCAAGATGCTTCACCTTTCTGAGCCTGAGTTTTGTCAAGGTAAAAATGAGGTGGTTGCGCTGGGGAAGTAGCTCAGTGGTAGAGCTATGGGTTCCATGCTTAGTGCCACAAGGGAAGAAGAAAGTCATTGGGAAGAGGAAATAAATGAACACTGGTCTGGCATTTCTGCAATCCTGTGGAGACTCTCTCGGTTTTACTACCCTGCTACCGGCCCCATAACTATGTTCCTGCACCCCTCACAGCCACAGTGGGCAGGGCCTGCGTGCCGACTTCACTGATTGTGACTCAGCTGCAGGGAGAAGTCTCTACCCCAGGTGGTGCTGTTTCCCCACCAGTGGAGCCTAACTGTTGAGTAACTGTTTAGGATCCCGTGTCTTCTGTTCCCTGGAGCCTCTGGCCAGCCCCTCACACCCCTCCACCCCACCCCCACCCCGCCATGTCTCACTCATCTCATCACGGTCCTTCTGTAGAAGAGGCAGAGTCAAACCTTGACAGGGATTGGTTTCATTTTAGGGGGCTGGGGAAACACCCAAGACTTGTGCACTTGGGAAGCACTCGTATGTTGAGCCACACACGCAGGCCCCTGACCTGTTATTCTTTTAATACATTTGTTAACACTTGAGCTATTGCAGCTTGCCTTTTTGTATTTGGGGGTCAGTTTGCCTTTTGTTCTCCAATATTTGAAAATCATATCGGCCCTGGTTCCTAAAGGAATAAAGGACCTGGGCTCACCAAGACAATTGCAGTACAAGGGGAAACACTCAAGTGGAACTCCATTTTTGGTAGTAGTCTCAGTCAGGAACCTCCCCCCCACCCCCCACCCCCCAATAATCATTTCCTTCTTCTTGTAAGACCTAAGCATTTTCATAGATGTTGCCATTCTATGCTTGACATGAACTGTTCTATTTTGTTTGTTTTTAGATCCGGGGGTTTCTGTCACGGTTTGATAATGTCCTTCCTGTCAGCCTGGCATTTGACAAATGTACTGCCTGTTCCTCCAAAGTAAGTCACTTTGTGTTTGTGGAGCTTGTTTTGAAGTAAGCCTTCAGCCTTGAACTTCCACCTTACCAGCCAGCATCTGAAACCAGCTGTGGCTTCCTGTGAGGAGTTGAAGTTCAGAAAGGACTCTGTCCTGTTTCCATGTGTCACAAAGAACCCAGACTGAGAAGGTTTGATTTATGGTATTTTAGGCCTGTATCAATGGTTGTGTTGTAGCAATTTGGGCTTAAGCTTGAACGTTACTGGTCTTATTTTGTTCCTCCCCAGAGGGTTTCCCTCCCTTCAGAGACCCTAGAAGACCAAGCAGTTTTTAAGTGTTCTGGATGAGGGGAATTGGGGTAGTCCTGCCCAGGGTGTCTTTTGGAGATCTACATAATGACAAAGGAAAAGTAAACAGAGATTAGGGTCTGGGTAGGGAGCCAATAAAAGGCCCCTTCGCCTTTGATCTTTCCAGCAGCTCTAAAAATAGATTTGGTGTGCTGTCCCACAGTAATGGGAACCGGCTGAGTATCTCTAACTATAGTGATGGCGTCTGTTTTAATAGGCTCTGAGATGCTGTCTGAGTTATTCTTACTTGTATACTATATGTGACAGCTGATTTCCTTTTGGATGTCCCTTTAAGCCTTCTAATGCCTAGTGATTTAACCTGAGCTTTTAAAACTCCTGTTTGCTAATCCCAGCCCTGTGGAGGCTCACAAGTTCGAGGCCAGCCTGGGATACATAGTAAAAACCTGTCTCAACAAAACAGCCCTCTTAACTGATGAGAAAGGTTTCCTGTTGAAAGACTATGCAAAATAATGTTGAGATCCTGTGTGTAGAGCAGCAGCCTCTGCTATGAGCAGATTTCTCTGCTGTGTTGCTTTCATCCAGCAGTGCTGGTAGAAGTAAATTATTGAGTTGACAGATTTCTGTTGGAAACTTGACATGATCATATTTTCTGAGAGGTGCAATCCTGATTAATTTCTGTAAAAAAGATTGAACTCAAATTTGATAAACCATGTTGACACATGGGCTAAATCTAGGTGCTTAGAAGTTGAGAGTAATGTTTCTTTTCTGCTCTGAAAGTAAACTAAATCGGTTTTGTTGTTTTGCTGAGATTTAAAGCTTATCATTTGCTGGTAGTTCCCCAGCAGCCCCTTCTCTCTGTGGTTCCTTTGTGTAAGAGGCATCCTATTTCCACTCGCTTCCAGGCTTCGCCGATGTCTACGAGCAATCCTCAGAAATCCAAGTTTTAGGATTATGTACTCTTCAGTGGAGTGTATTTTTTTTCCTTGTATGACTGAGTTAATTGGTCTAAAAATAACTTGGCCGTATTAATTTTCAAATTGAGATCATTTGGTTCAGGGCCATATTTTCTGTAGCTGTAGCTTTATGTCAGTCCAGCAAGTCAATGAAATGAAGATAATTGGGTTCTCCAAGTGAAATGCACACACTCGTTCTTTCTTGTTCTATTTCTAATTAAATTAGCAGGTAAGATACTGTTTATAAAAGAATCTCCGCATACCAGCTGGTAGCAGGGGAGGGGAGGAGCCATTCTTTCAGAAAGTGGCTTTACCCTTTCACACTCACTGTAAGCACTGAAGTAAATATGGGTATGCCACTGGTTTCTTCACAGAATTACTTCCTCTCCCGTGGCCGCTCTAAGCGGCCTGCTTTGCACACGCATGCTAGGCCATTTGATACACGCTGACTTGGGTTTTAACAGCTGCTCTGTTCCCATGGCGATCACTTTTCATGTGGTCTGAGTATTAGATTTCCTTTGTGCTGAAAAGGTTGCTTCTTTTGGTGCCTGTGTTTCCTTACAGTAGAAACCCAGCTTTTGCTTATTTGGCTACCTTCTTTCCCCTCGAAGGAGCATGTCATTCTCCATTATCTGCAAACCTAACAGTAATACTTTGAAATGACAAATCCAATTACATTCCCCACTCTGCGTGTGACTTTTTCTGAAGGCATGCTCAGAGTGATACTTTTTATACCGGATCGTATCTTAGTTGTTTCTGTTTCAAAAGATTCGTTGGGACAAAAAATGATTTTACAAAGTTTTTCCTTTGACATTTATGAAATTAATTTTGCTTTGATGAATTTTAGTATTTGTGCTTTTCCCCTAGGACCAAGGCCATATAAATACAGAGAGTTAAAAAGAGTAAAGGGATGCGATAATCTCTGTTGGGTAGTAATACCTTGTTCACTAAAAAATGACACCAATAAACCATGAAAACCTCCTATTGACTGAGGTGAGGGAGAATACCAAGGCCAGTTTCTGTGGCGGAGAAGCCAACTCCTCTACCACAAGCCGTGCGTACTTTGTTCCATCTTCACTTGGCACATACCCATATGAATTATTCCATTTTACAGAAAAAAAAAACAAACACAAAAATGATTGAAGAATCTCTGGGGGAGGTGAGTGATAAAAGTGGCTTTTATTTCAGTTTCTGATTATCACCTCATAAACTTCCTAAGATGATGGTGTCTATCACTGAGACTTGAAAAAGCCTAGTCGAAGCTTACATGTTGGTTGTTTTGGTTTGGGTTTTGGTGACTACAGGGTTTGAACTCCGTACCTTGTACTTGAATTTACTTTCTTGCTTGGCATACTATAGTTAGGTCACACCTCCAGGTCAGCTGTTTGCTGGAGATGAAGTCTCAGACATTTTCCTCCAGGGTTGATCTTAAACTGCCATCCTCCAAATCTCAGCCTCCTGAGTAGCTAAGATGACCTGATGCAGGTTTTATGCATTGTTTTTCACTTGTAGAAAAGGAATCTAGATCCAACTAGGGTTGTGAACTTTCTGCCAGAACAAAGAATGTCATTTTGAACCCAGTATTCCTGAAAGGCCTTGGAATGTGTTAAGTTTTATTAGTAGTGGTCTTTTTTTTTTGTTTTTGGAGGGGGGGAGGCAATCTTTTTTAGCAACTTTATTTTAGTTGGTAAAATCTTAAACTTACAGAAAGGTTGCACAAATATTACTGAACACTTTGTGATAGTTTCCATTGGTCTGTGTTCTCCTCCCTTCCTGCCTCCTCCTTTTACTCCCCTCCCACCCTTTCTGTTTGCTCATGGATTTTCAAGAGTAAATTGAAGACATTGTGTTCTATTTTAACTGAATGCTTCAATGTAAATTTCCTAGGAACAAAGAGGGTTTCTTCCCTAACATACAATATGCTTATTAAGTTAAGGCCATTTAATGTTTGCACAATATTATTATCTAATCAGCAGTCTGTATTTCAGATGTTATTTGCACCATTAATGTTCTTTGTAGGTTTGTTTGCTTTTCCTTTCTAGGGCAGTGTCCGGTTCAGGATGAAGCACTGGGTTTAGTTACCCTGTCTCTTGGGCATCTGGAAAAGATATTTACCTTCCTTTGTCTTTAACTGTGACCTTTTGACACATAGCTTGTTCTTTCTGTAGAGTTTCCCTCAGTTTGGACTTGCCTGCCATTTTCTTGTGATTAGATTCAAGTTATTTCTGGCTTTTCAAATTCAAGTTATTTTGACTTTTTGGCAAAATGCCAAAGAAAGACTGCCAAATCCTCCTGTTAGAAGGCACATGCTGTATTTACCCTTTTGGTGATGGTAACTTCCCCCTTCCCACCTTCCAAACTACCTTTCTCAGCAGGGGGAAGCCTGGCTCCATTATCCTCAAGTCTAGAATCCAGAGTGGTTTCATACTTGCTAGTTTCTGCCTTTACAAAAAATGTACCTCATAAATAGGCTTCAGTGTATGGTTCTTTATTTCTAGCTAAAATTCCTTCACAGCGCAGCATTGTTATCTTAAAAGAGTTGTGTAAGTTTTGACAAATGCATACTCCTGTGTAACCCATACTCCTCCCATCGAGATGGAGAACACTGTCATGGATCCAGAATCTTCCCTTGTTCCCCTTTCCAGTCAAGTCCTAGGGGAGGTGGAACATGACACATATCATGACCGCTCTTTTGCAATAAGGAATAAAGCGAGGCGTTTTCCTAGTGCTTCATGCAACAATAGCTGTGCTTTTGAGACCTGCAAGTTGATCAGGGACTTTTTTGGTACCTCTAGAGTCAGGAGCAGGGTTGTTCTATTGCCCATAATATTTGTGATAGTGTACAAACCGCCTATTAAGATGAAACAGCCCTCAAACTTGGTTTGCTTCCCATCTAGGACCTGCCCACTGCACAGATGTAGCAAGTGGTACCCAAAAATCTGATCTTCAGATTTTAATTAGTGATTGACAGTGCTAATGATAGCCTCATTCTGGTGCTGACTGAGACACAATTGTTGGTGAGTTACAGCTAAACTTCTGAGAATGACTTGTGTGTGAGTGGCTTTCTGTGTACATCTGGGCATGGGCATCCAGAGTAGTGCTGGAGAAAGGGAGGGGTGGCATAATCAATACCAGCTATACCGTCACTTGGTACTTTGTATTTCCTTTCTGCCTGTATCAAAGCCAGCCTGCCTGTTTATCTATAATGCTATATAATCCCGCCTTTCTTTTATCATATTTCCTAGGGAGGTAAAGAAACATAAAAATACCAAATTAAACTTGGCTATTTAAACTTTGTTTTAGAAGTGCCATCCCAAAATAACCTTTCACCCAAGAGTACTACAGATGTCCTAGATTTGGAAGGGTCTTATGCAAGCATTCATTTACTTAGCTGATATTTGAGTCTCTGCTGTATGCCAGTGATGTAAGGATGATTGCCGTAGTTTAGATGTGGAATGTTCCCTTAAAGGGCCTTGTATTAAAGGCGTGGTCTCCAGCCTGGTGCTAAAACTAGATGGTGAGGTTTTTAAGAGGTGGAGCCTAGAGAGAGGAAGTTGGATCATTGAGGATGTGCCTTTAAGGGATTTGGGGCCCTGGCTCTCCCTCTTGCTTTTTTTTTCTTTTTTCCTTCTGGCATGAACTGAGAGTTTTCTCTGCCCCTCATTGCTCTGTGATATACTGCCTAACACAGCTACTATGAGCCCATCTGCCCATGAACTGAAACCTCTAAAACCTGGAGCCAACATAAGCCATTGCGCCTTA